ACATTCCATCGTTTATGGTTTCATTTACGGTGGGAAAATGAACAAAAAGAGATTTGGTGGCGTCTTGCGGTTGATGGGGTGCCTATGTTAGGAAATTCCCATCTTAGGATGTCGCGCCCAACGATATGTGGTTGTGGAGGTTATCCAATAGGTTCAGTGGGAGGTGTATCCCCTCGCTATCATCATTTCTGGGCCTGTCCGGTGGCACAGGCAATAGCAGATCAACTTACTCTTTCAATAGGATTGCCAGTCTCAAGGGAGCAACTTTGGCTTATCCAAGCCCCACAATCAGTGCAACAATGTGTTTGGGATGTTGTGGCTCTTGCTGCGGTGTCAGCCATGGAGCATGGGAGACGTTATATGGCTGCAAACATGAAAACCAACCCGGCACTGTTACCTGGTCCTTCCCTTACGGAAGAAGCAATTTGTCGAGTTATTGTTGATTTTTGGGGCCGCATTCAGGGTTTCGCAGCTTTAGGAATTCCACGAAAAGGTTGGGAATCCGTTGGCGCACATCACCCCTTTTTGAGGATTATATCTGGCAAATTGATTTGTTCGCGAGAGCGGTTACCGATGAGAGGTTAATTATCTGAGATGATAATCTTTTGGTATATTAGTCTCTACTGCAGTGCACGGCCAGCTGGCCCGATGGCTCTACTCTTCGGGAGTCTGGAGCCCACTGTAACAACCACACACACACCTTGTTGAGGCGGAAAGCGCTATTGTTATCGTTTCCGCTATCGAACGGCGTTGGTTGCTCCTTAACAGCTTGGAAGGGCAGTGAACGGCCAAACCTTGCTGCCGTCCGAAGATTGCAAAAAAACTAGATTGCCACTTTCCTTCAGGACCCGTCAGGCCCCATCCCCTTGCTGCCGGAAAATGAATTTGGCCCTGCTTTGTTGCAAAGCGGAAGCCCCGTTCTCCACCCCGAGAAATGAGAACATTCCCGGTCAAGAGTTCAGGTGGAAAGAGCGTACACGAGTTCTCAAAGCATAGCTAGTTGACAACATAAGGTAGATTGCATTCATAGGAACACCCGCAGCTGCCAAGTAGCTACCATGCCAGCAGTGCATCGTGTCATTCAGATTGGCCAATAATCTAGAACTGTGTTAGGCCATGTTAATAGAAATGGCCCGCATCCACCCTACACAACTCGGGAATCTGTGCGCTGCTAGGCTAGACAGCACTCTCAACGAAATAGGTACAAAGTTCAATTGGATCGCGGGGAACGTGTTGATAACGGGCCTTCTTATTGTGCTACTGAAGCCTTCGGCTGGCAGGATCTCTTCTCACAGCCCTTTGCTTTGATTAATCAGATAACGATTATCTTATTATATAGGAAGAAAAGCAGCAACAACGGAGAGAAAAAAGGAGAAAACCAGGCCTTTGAGTCCGAAGTTTTGGGAGCAGTTTTGTACGGCGCATGCCAGTGTTACAAAAAGCCCGATGTCGAACTCTTGTACCAGGAACGTATGCACACACGTACTTTGTTAGGAATACTGCCACTTGCTAATGTAATTTATTTCGGGTGACCAGTACTTGGAAAAATGGGTTGCACTGCATCTGTATCGTCTCGGTCTCCGCATGGAAACAAGGTATATAAGGCACTTGTACAACTCCATCTATGTGTCGTTCATTTCTGGCCTAGCGGCTTGCTCTCGGCACAGCCTTCGAAGTCATCGCTGCTGTCGTGCAGGTTATGCCTAACGATGGGATTTCTAGACGAAATAGCGCTCGAAGCGACGCAAGCTCGACAGCAGAAGGCGCCGGCAAATTCTCTTTGTCGGCGGGCCCCTACATCGGACTTTGTAGCAGCAAAAGCGACAAGTCCGCCATCTCTCCGAGGCCTCGATCAATGGTAAGACAGCTAATATCCAAACCATACAACAGTCCCCACACTCCTCGCCATCCACCGTTCCCTCTGCAGCTCTTGAGGGTCAAAGGTTTCGGAGGCGGGGGCGAGGACAAAGACAAGCGAGCCGCGGACGAAGCTTCAGCTAAGGCACCCGAATCGCCCCCGCTAGGAAAAGACAGCCTGTTGGCAGCTCCAACGAGCCGCAAAAGCAGCTTGGAAGGGAGCCAGCTATCAGCCCACGCCTCGGTCAACGGCGCGGACGCGGAAGCGGATGCTGACGCGGCGAAGGGGAGGCTGGAGCCGGCGGAAGCTGCTGAGCGCGGGATCCCGCTTCCCGGGTCCGCGGAGAGTCCGAAGCGGGGTGCGGCGGCCCCTGGGCCTCCCCTGGAGCTCCTGCAAACCCCTGCTACTGCTGGTAATGGCCCGCCGGCGTCCAGCTACCCCAGGCCCGACCATGAGTCCACAGATGAACGTGAGTGCGTGAGAGGTGTGTGTGGTGGTGGGTGAGAGGTGCGTGAGAGGTGTGTGGCGGTGGGTGAGAGGTGCGTGAGAGGTGTGTGGTGGTGGGTGAGAGGTGCGTGAGAGGTGTGTGGTGGTGGGTGAGAGGTGCGTGAGAGGTGTGTGGTGGTGGGTGAGAGGTGCGTGAGAGGTGTGTGGTGGTGGGTGAGAGGTGCGTGAGAGGTGTGTGGTGGTGGGTGAGAGGTGCGTGAGAGGTGTGTGGTGGTGGGTGAGAGGTGCGTGAGAGGTGTGTGGTGGTGGGTGAGAGGTGCGTGAGAGGTGTGTGGTGGTGGGTGAGAGGTGCGTGAGAGGTGTGTGGTGGTGGGTGAGAGGTGCGTGAGAGGTGTGTGTGGTGGTGGGTGAGAGGTGCGTGAGAGGTGTGTGGCGGGGGTTGTCGTGCCGTACCTGGCCATGTGGTACCCCTGGCCTCCGCTGCCACTCCCTTCCCCTCCTCCCCGACCCTCTTTCCCTCTTCCCCTCACACCACCTCACTCACCTCACCTTCCCCTCACCCCGTGAGCGCGCCGGGTGGCCCCATGCAGCGGCATTTATTGTTTCCCGCTTTCCCGCTTTTCCCCGCATTTCCCCGCATTTCCTTCTCACTTCGCCACTGCCGCCGCCGCCGCAGCAGCAGCAGCAGCAGCAGCCTCCGAGGCCCCACCTCCGTCAACTCCCCCAGCCAACCCCCTATCCGTTACACAACTGGGCATTACCCTACGTGGCCTACGGAAGCTGTACGACAGCCTTCGAGAACGCTTCGGATCGCATCGATTATGGGCCATGAGCACGGAGGAGCTTGTGCGGATGTGGGTGATGGAGATAACGGGGTCTCGCCAGTGCCGCCTTCTAGAAGTATCTGATTTGGTGGATGCAAATGATGTAGCTCCGCCAACGTATTTCGTCAGTCATGCGTGGCAGAATCGAGCAGGTCTCCTGTTCGAGTCCGTGCTGGGGCATTATTTACTGGCGGGTTCTTTGGCGGACGAGCCACAGGCTGCGGCGGCGGAAGTAGCGGTGTGGATTGATATCCTCGTTGTGAACCAGCACGACGGTACGGAAGGGCGGCGGCTGGATCTGGCGGCGGTGGAGGATGTCGTACGGGCCTGCAGCGGCGGCACAATTGCCGTTACAGATCTGGCCGCTGGCGTCAACCCGGCAGCTCGGGCGTGGGTCCTGTACGAATGGGCTACCACGTTGACCGTACATGGCCCTGAGGCGTTGCATGTACAGCTCGACCCGTACGAACGCTCGTCCATCATCGGCGCACTGGATGTACGACAGGCCAGCTGCAAGTCCGTCGCTGACAAAGCCACCATCCATTCCGCCATCGCGGCGTCGTACGGCTCCGTCGAGGCGTTCAACACACGGCTGCGGCTACAGCTCCTGCTACAGCCGCTGTCTTACAGGGAGGATCTGCGGCGGCCGCCGCCTCCTGCCGCCGCCGCCACCCTTCGGCCCCAGTGGGATCTTTCCCCCATTCGTTCTTGGCTCGAGGGGGGGGAGGGGGAATCCCGGGTTTTGTGCCTCCTTGGCGGGCCAGGCGAGGGCAAGACCTCGTTATGTGCGACGCTGTGTGATCGGGAGACAGGGCTGTTGCGGGGTAGCGGAGGGGTGTGTGGAGGGGCTGGGGGGGGTGGTAATGTGGTTTCGGCGCACCACTTTGTTCGGTTCAACGATCGGCGGCGGCAAGAGCCCCAGGGCATCGTCAAGAGCCTGACTTACCAGCTGGCGGAGAGGTGCGTGCGGAGTGGTGGGTTTATGTAAGCTGGACGAGCCTGGTA